GTTGTTGCATAATGGATTATGCTCAGGTGACCTATAAGGCCCATGGGCCTCTTGTTTTGACATCAGCATAAATTTGCATGTAATTTTTACATTTCAGAACAAGATTTTATTTTTAGTTCTTTTATCCAGACAACAAATATGATAAATCATGAAATTTTCTAGAAAAACAGATGTGTTTGTGAAACACTGATGACCCCGTATGGCAACAAATTAGCGAAGATTATACTTTTCTTAAATGCAAACTCACTGGAAATACAAATATGAAGTCAGTCCAGGGTAAAACATTTTCATCAGTTTTGAAACCTTGGTATCCAATAAAGGGATTTTCACAAGGATTACATTAATACATGTATGAGATCACTGGCACTTAGCGTTCAAATGTTAAGGCCAAGGTTTAAGTTTTTTCATAAGTACAAAAATCTCCCAGGTCAAGGTCAAAAGGTCAAGGTATTTGGTATCCAATAAAAGGTCTTCCCACAAAGAATACGTATGTAAAGTATGAAAGCCCAAATCTTTAACATTCAGAAGTTAAGGCCAAGGTTAGAAAATTAATAAGTAGGTCAAACTCCAAGGTCATAGGGTCAAAGGTCTTGCTATCAAATAAAGGTCTTGTCACAAGCATTAAATATGTAAAGTACGAAATCACTAGCCCTAAACCTTTAAAAGTTCTAGTCAATGTTTGCTTTTTTAGAGTAATTCAAACGTCAAGGTCAAAGGGTCAAAGTTCTGGATTTGAATGGTCTTCTCACAAGGATTACATATGGGAAGTATGAAAGCTCTAACCCTTACCATTCAAAAGTTATAGCCAAGATTAAAGTTTTTTTTTTCAAATCTCCAAGGTATCCAATAAAAGGTCTTTTAACAAAGAATACATGTGTTAAGTATAAATGTCCTGGTATCTACTGTTCAAAAGATAAGGCCAGAGTAAAAGTTTTGAATTTTTGTGTAAAAGTGGGTCAAACTCCAAGGTCAAGGTCAAGAGGTCAAATTTGGTGGTTCACAAAGAAAGGTCTTGTCACAAGGAATACACATGTGATATATGAAATATGAAAGTCAGTTCCACTAAATCAAAAGTTTTGAGCAAGGTTAGTTTTTGCAGTCAAACAGACAGACAGACAAACAGACAAGACAACCAGAAGTCTTTGTCGAGACTGTAGCTCTACTGGTTTATACTTAAAACAAAGGAAGAGAAAAGTAGCAGTTGGGACTTGAAACTTTAAAATAGCAATAAATAGAAAAATGGTCCTAGCCGCTTATCAAAATAAAAACCAATGTACAGAATTATGTAACTTAGTATAGTCTACTTGTGTGCCAAGTTATAGTGAAATCGGACCAAAACTGTAGGAGAAGTAGCATTTTGAAAGAATTTTTCAGAAATTTTTATTTTTAGTAACCATGGCAACACCGTTCATCAAAATCCAAAACTGATGAACAGAATTATGGATCTTAGTTAAACTACTTGTGTGCCAAGTTATATTGAAATCGAACCAAAACTGTAGGAGGAGTAGCATTTTGAAATAATTTTCACAGAAATTTCTATTTTTAGAAACCATGGCAACACCATTCATCAAAATCAGAAACCGATGCACAGAATTATGTATCTTAGTGTATTCTACTTGTGTGCCAAGTCATATTGAAATCGGACCAAAACTGTAGGAGGAGTAGCATTTTGAAAAATTGTTTACAGACAGACAGACAGACAGACGGACAGCTAGACAGACGGACGGACGACGGACGCATTACTATCGCATAAGCTCTTCTGGTCTCTGACCAGTAGAGCTAAAAACTATATACCCCCGAAACTTCGTTTATGGGGGCATAAAAATTTCTAACCTACCTACCGACCCAATAATTTTACCCATAGTCGGGTAGAGGGCAAGTAAACACTATTTTAGAGATGGCTCAATAAAGAATTTTATGGTTATAACATTTCATTAAAATCTCATTTTAGTGTCACTGTACTGTACAAAATGAAACCTATCCATGTTGCTAGGGAAAAGTGGTTGCCATGGAGACATGATTAAACCAGTTGATGTGTATTTTTCTGACATGTAAAAACATGTACATGTAAATGTGGTATTATTTTTTTTTGCATTGTGACTGTGTATAGGTTCATTTTTGCATTATATTCTCTTTATGGTTCAATTGTACTACCAAAATTTTCACTGTTGTTAAGGAAAATTGGTTGCCATGGTGAAAAGACTGAACATGAATTGAAGTCTTTTTTGAGAAATTCATATAAGTAGAAGATTATTTGATGATCTATTTATATGATATTCTCATCGCAGTACTAGTAATCATAAAACTTCAAATTTTGTGTGTGTTGCTATGGAAACTTGGTTGCTATGGTGAAATGGACAAGCTTTGTATGTTCATCAGATAAAGATGATCAATATATCTTACCATTTATCATGATTATGTGCATCTATCTTAAGAAGGTAACTGCATTTTATTGTATACATTGTGTATGTTCTTGTCTGAATGTGTTAGAAATGTGCCTGAAAGAGTTGCCTAGCAACCATTCTTGTTTGTGTTTCCGACGCATTTGATTTTTATTTTGAGTACAACTTGTAATCATTGTTTATAATATATGCCACAGAATTTGCAACTTTTCCAATAATTATATTTATATGCCTTTGAAATACCATAAAATTGTCAAATTTACAGAAAATGAATAAACATTGAAACAGTACCCATTCGGATATCCTCTAGAAACACCATAAAGCAGTATTTTAAAAGTATTGTATAATTTTATCTTTAATGAACCTTTGTCTTTTCTTAATAAACTGTTGCTGTGTTCTAAAACATGTTATTTTCTTTTTTATACCAATATAAAAAATAAGTTTTTAAAATTTTTCAAAACACTATACACAACTGGTTGCTATGGAAACAAAAATATGTCGTTTTCCATAACAACCATTGGTATTGAAATTTTTTACTCTGCATGACTTCATATGTCATCATTACGAAGAATTGTGGAAAGTTTCATTAAAATCCAAGATTTTCAATGTGCCGCCTTTTGCATGATTCTTACTGAGACCACTACTTAAGTTGGGTAATACTAACTCGATATCCCGTTGTGCGAGTCAATGTACTTTAAGTCGTCCACTAAAACGAAGCAAAATTCACACATTTTCTCCAGTTTTGAAGTCTTTCCGGAGATGAAAAACACAAAGTAAAGATCCAGCGTTCACGAAAATCATCTTTTTCTTTTGTTAATTGCAATTAAAAGGTACAACATCTCTGGTTTGAATAAACACAGTAGCTTTTTTCGTTCACAGAGAGGCTCGAGCCCAGAACAGAAAACATTTTGGAAAAACCCATGATTGGTAAAAGGCGTAGCGTGATTGGTCAGATCTGTTCTAGAAAGGCACCATTGACCAATCACATCTCGCGTTAAATATTTGATGCAATGTTTAGTGAATTTAGTGGACGACTTAAATTACATCACTTGCATGACAGGATATCGGATCTGCAAAACACTACTTACACGATTCTTAAATGACCGCGATGGTATTTTAATTAAAGAGTGATTATTGCTGAATGATCCCAGACGTTATTTCACTAACTGCAAGGTATTTTATTGAAAACACGAGTCATTTCCGAGATCGACCCTGTGTAAATTCGAGCTGACGTTGTTTCCCTTTCTCTTTTTGTACACATATAGTGATTACGTAAAATCAAATACAGTATGTTACAGGCCCCTGTGGATTTTCAGTGTAAGTCTAACTGCATCAATGATTCGCTGAGTAATTATCTAGTAAGCAGAATTAATGTGCGAGTCTAATACGTTTTTTTTTTTACTCTAGACTGTTCATATATGTTTTAAAATTCTTACAAAATTGATGATTAATTAGTAAAATCATGCATCCGATATGAACTAGATATGAATGCACACTTACGGCAAAAAGGATCATGTATCTGATTCAATAATTTGAATGGGCAAAACTAAAATCTTAAGTCAAGAAAACCAGGGAATTAGTTTAAACATCTGTATAGTTTAATTACGAATATTTAAGTACAGCAAATATTTCAAAAAGAAGTTGATTTAATTTGCTCAAATAAAGAAAATGAAAATATTTATTATCAATTCCGTAATGAGGAACTGTGATACACCTTGTTACATGGGGTCCACGATCGCTGACATCAAGGATGCCGACATCAAGTTCGAGGTTCACGGTTTTTACTGTACCTTTGATCACAAACACAACGAGTTGATCATATTTATAGCATATAAGAAATCGTCTCAAACACTGTCTAGTTGTTTTGAAGTTGTTTATTTCGAGTAGTTTCCTTTATTACATAGTTAAAAGCCCAGATGCATGATACTTGATAATGGTGTTTTGAACAGCTAGACACAAACTCCCTCCTCCTTTCACGGGCGCTATTGCGAAAAATAAACCAAAATGACTTATTTTGTCATTGCACAGCGCAAAAATCATTGGGGGTGTGGTTTGCATAATTAACCAAAGAACAGTACGGTTCGTTTCTTGCACGGAACGGTACGCTTTGTGGACGGTACAGTACACTTTGTGCACCGAACAGTTCGCTTTGTGGACGGTACGCTTTGAGCACGGAACGGTTCACTTTGTGGATGCCCCTGCGAGGTGAAATTCATAATTTCAGGAACTTTTATGAATCGTTCATGAACATTCATGATGTGTTCATGAACGGTTCATGACTGGTTCATAAAGATGGTTCATGAACTTTATTCATGAATATATTCATAAAATGTAGTTCATGAACAAATGATGAATTTATATGAATAATGGTAATTTTCATTTTAAAGACAGAAAAAATGTAGAGTTCAAGGTATTATGAATGTTCATGAATTTTCATGAAGACTAAAATAATTGACAAAAATGATTGACAGAAAACACTCATTTCTCTCATAATGCAACTTTTGCATGCAGATGCAATTGTTGAACAAGCCTCTGGCATAATTTATATTTAATACCATTCTTTCACCAACTATCTGAAAAAATAAATCATGAAATCTCTTAACATTTCGTGTTTTTATTTGATTTTAATCAAACAAACACTGCATCACCATTGACAGCATTTTTTTTCAAATTGATTATTTATGTTTCTTCATAATTTAAATGAAACAGTTATAATCATCATAATGTGCTTTAAATAATGTCGTTTTTCATCACACAACTTTGTTCGACCAAATTTTCTCTAACATCAAATTTTAAACAAGTTGCAAAATAAAAAATTCACAGTTTCTTTTACAATGTTTTTTGAGACAAATATAATAGCATATACCACTCAGATGTACAATATAAGCACACTTTTTTAAATGTATGTATTCTCAATGAAACTGCAAAGTATTTTACATCAAAGGTTATTAACAGAAATATCCAAGAAAAAATAAGATTACTGGGGGATCGCCTTGGTTAAATTAGTGATAATCAAGTTATGATATACATGTATGTAGTAAACTAAAGTATGAACTTTTTTTTAAATAAGAGGTTAGATTCATTAAATGACATTGGCCAAGGATTGGGAGAGGTCATTGAAACCTCAACAGTATATACATTTACAATAAAGTGCCAGTAGCCCATGTACATTTACTGTACAAAGTTAGTGACAAGAGTGACAAACACATGTATTAAATGCAAAAATATATGTAGTACACAACAACATTGACACAAAGATCCCATAAATGAACATTTGCTATTTTCCACCAATGTATGTGCCAAAGATCCCAATTATGGAAGATACAAAACTTCTGACATGTTGCTAGAATCACATCCTCAGATATCCCATGAAATTTGCAATAGAGGGTTGACAGGTAATTGGCGTCACCAACGGATTCACTTTTAGTACGAAAACTCAGCAAGTTCGATGTTGATCATTCCAACAGACACTTCAAACTTTCCTTGCACAATTTCTGAAAGAGGAGATGACCATTTAAGATGTATCATTATTGATATCCGTATAAATATATGACAAATAATGAACTAAAGCTCTACAAAACAATTGTTCTTTTCTACCTGGCAGATCAGTTTACTGTAGAATATGAATTCACTATCTTGCAATTTTTTGTTCAAATTAGGATTAATTCTGATAAATGTAAAAATGTGAAAAGTTTATAGACAACAGACAAACACAAGACTTTGACACTGATCAAAAAACTCACTTAGGCCTTAAAATGGCTCAGGTGAGCTTAAATGAAAAGGCTAGAGCTGAAGCTCAATGCCTGACTAACATTGAAAAAAAATAATTTTAATTCATGTGATTTTATTGATTAAGAAAATAATGAAGAAATCTTACCATTTTTTTAATATAGTTCTTGTCCCAAATCTTGTGAGCATCCGGATTCCTGTAAAATGCATGTATGCTTCATAGAAGATGATATCTTTGATTATATTTGATCTAAAATAATTATACATACCCATGCAGTTAGCATGTTTAGATTACCTTTTAGAATTCATGTTAAAAATAATAAGGATATGGAAATTAGGCATGTTAAGAATATAATTCTTTAAATGTTGTTTACTTGGCATAGTTGCACTATTGTGTTTTAATCTTATGCTTAAAGACATAGATTAATAAAATCAAAGTTAGTTTCTTTGTTTTGAATAATAATTTGAGCTGGTTCTCACCATATTCACAAGCCTAGTGACTGATTGGTTAAGCATCTACATGTATATGCACTTTATCAAAGGCCAGGACTGTGAAAATCATCTCAGGCAATGCAGCAACTATTAAAACAATCGAAACATACAAGATAAGAGCTGAAAAATGGTCATGAACATGCATTACAAAATATATAATTAACTACATGTACATCATACTCTGTAAATGTTATCTTGAACAAAGGAAGGTACAGGTAAAATTCTTGACATCAGTTCGATTTCCAAGCAAGGAAATTCGGGTTAAAATCAATGATCTTAATGATATGTATAGATTTGTAAAATAATTATTACAGAAATAGTGCTTGTCCTAACGATTTCACCGTCGGGCATTTTATGTATGGTGCCCGGATTAATCAAAAGTAGCAGAAACATTCTTCGTTCGAGGACACATAAAATACTGTACAATATTGTACCTACCGGTCTTAAAAATATCGTCATCTTCTTCCATCCCAAGCTGACCATGATCCCCCTGTTCGTGGCACTCGTTCCAACTTTCCTTCTGTGGAACATCAACATGATGAACACGGCATTCGATATTTTTGAATTTCGGTGTTGTTAAAATTAATTGTTCATTGAGCCCGACTTCGATCCCGATGTTATTGTAATCTTAGTCCAAATTAATTGATGACGTAAAAAGTTCGAATTCTTCATTGATAAAACTTATTTTGATATTAAAAAAAATTGTATTTTCAGTGAAAAATTATTCAGATAGTATTTTAAATTTTTTTAAACAGAAATCTTGGAAATTCGAAACTAACGTATTTCTTAGCTCTACCTTACATTTTTGAAAAGGCGCAAACTTGAAAACGCGCGGGCGTTGGAAGTGGGAATTTGGAGAGTGGAAGGATCGGTATTTGTGATCTATAATTTGCATAGTCACTGATCTTTGTCAACTTTTAAAGAAAATAACAGAATATGAAAAAGGAAGACTATATATAGGATTGATCTACTTCATAACTGGTGAGTGACAAAAATGGAGGCAATCACTGAGTCAGAAAACTGTCTGTAAATGTTACTGTGAGTGTCTATTTGTAAAATAAATTGATATGTCTTTTTTTTTATAAATGAAAGTTTTGTCTAACTTTGCTTTGAGTTTGGATCCAACCATATAACATACATTAATTATAGACTGAGACTCGAAACATTCATAGGCCTGATTGATCTACAAAATGGCGGTCCAAGAAAATAGGCTTAAATTCCATTCAGAATCAATGTTTTAATTTGGAAGTGCCTCTGATGCAAAATTAAATGAAAATAAAATGCAAGAAAATACACAAAAAAGTCTTATGTTTTACATTCATGGGTAATTTCAGAAAATCTTTCTTTTTGAAGGAAAAAGAGAAGCAGTTCACAAATGTTGATGAGCAAAAGACAAGAAACTCTGGCTGCAAAAAAAAATCTGAGCTCTTGAAAACGAAAGAAAAAAAGAATTGAAAATATGAATGATATTCAATCAAAGGATCCAAATGACGAAATTCTGGAAATTCCACATGGAGAGACAATAAGGATTTTTGAATTGACCATCTCTGCTCGAACTGCTTAAAACTGTTACCCTGGTGCTGAAAAAACTTTTCTCCTAGACTGGAATTAAAAACTGTTCAATTTCTGGCATTAAAACACACTTTGAAACATGCTGAGGAAGGACCCCCTCTCCTTTTGACCAAGTAAGGTTAAACATTCTGCCAAGAGTTGCGTTTGAATTGAATATTTTTTTTTATACTTTTACCAGGAATGAACTACATTACTCATTTACTATAGTTTAATATGTCAGAACTGTTTATTTTAAGTTTTTTAACAAAGATTTTGTTGCCATGGTTGGAATAAAGATTTTGTTGCCATGGTTGGAAAACAAACAACATTTCTGTGAAATCTTTCAAGATGCTGTATTATAAAACATCTACTGTTACTTTTTTAGCATGACTTCATGCATTTTCATGAATAAACATGAATAATAATATTGCATTTTTTGTTTACAAATAAGCAAGAATATTCATGAATTTTAATGGCTCATGAATTTTTTTTCATTCATGAACATTCCTGAAAAATTCATCAAATTATTCATGAACAGTTCATGAAGATCCAATGAACTTATTATTGGACATTCTTGAAATGATGAATCTTCATGAATATGACTCTTCATGAATTATTCATGAAAAAAAATATTCATGAATATTCATCAATTTTCTTTCATGAATAAAAATTCATGATTTAAAAATGTCCAATAATAAGTTCATAGGATCTTCATGAATATTTCATGAACATTTCATGAACAAAATTCATGAAAAATTCAAGGAAATTCATGAATTATTCATGATCGTCTCGCAGGGGTGGTACGGTACGCTTTGAGAACGGAACGGTTCGCCTTGTGCATGGAACGGTTCGCTTTGTTCACGGTACGGTTCGCTTTGTTCACGGAACAGTACGGTTCCTTTCTGAGGTGTAGAAGCACGGTTTAGGGTCTGTACATGGACTTTTGGATCATCTGGTTTTCTTTCGGATCACCGGGGTTTCATTGGGTTACAGACAGAATTAATTCTAGGAAACAATTTCATTGATCGCGTAGAAAAGGGTGAACTAATTCTAACATTCTAAACTATGAAAATTTGCTCGCATTAATATTTTACGGTATTTTACTATAAAAATAATAATAAAATGAAAGAAAAAGTGAGCTAGCTCACATACCCCACGCTCCCCAAAAACTTGACTGTGAAACACATAATGAAAGGCACAGCTAGTGCACTTTAAATACATAGTATAGATCAAAAATGGCAATAATTGCAAAAAAATCTTCACATCAAAATGTCTTGCATATGAGGACATTTAAATGTGGAATGAAGTTTCTAGATAAATAATGGAATCAAAATTTCTTGGCATTATACAAATCCAAACATTAATTTGAAGTGGTTGGGGAGAGGGGGGGGGGGGGGTGTGAGAAATTTTCTTGAATAATAGGCAAAACTCTTTGGGATAAAATAATGGAATATGTCCTAAATATCTGCATAGGTTGACGAAACTATGTACAACAGTTTAAGAGGAGTAGTGCTGACAAACTGTTCATCTGTATATTCAAAATATGGCCAAAAAGTCTAAGTTGGAAAGTGCGGAAATTCCCGGAAAAATAAAGGAATCGGAATTTCCTGGTAATATGCATATCTACATATTGTGTCCTAAATATCTGCAAAGTTTAACGAAATTCTGTGCAGTGGTTTATGAGGAGTTGCGCTGACAAACTGTTCATCTCTATATAAAAGGTATGGCCAAAAACCTAAGTATTTAGTGCGGAAAGTCCCGGAAAAAATAATGGAATCAGAATTTCCTGGTAATATGCACATCCACATATTGTGTCCTAAATATCTGCAAAGTTTGACGAAATTCTGTGTAGCGGTTTATGAAGAGTTGCGCTGACAAACTGTTCATCTCTATATAAAAGGTATGGCCAAATGCCTAAGTTAAAAAGTGTGGAAAGTCCCGGAAAAAATAATTGAATTGGAATTTCTTGGGAATATGCACATCTACACATTGTGTCCTAAATACCTGCAAAGTTTGACGAAATTCTGTGCAGCAGTTTATGAGGAGTTGCGCTGACAAACTGTTCATCTTTATATTCAAGGTATGGCCAAATGCCTACGTTAAAAAGTGCGGAAATTCCCGGAAAAAATAACGGAATCGGAATTTCCTGGTAATATGCATATCTACACATTGTGTTTTAAATATCTGCAAAGTTTGACGAAATTCTGTGCAGCGGTTTATGAGGAGTTGCGCTGACAAACTGTTCATCTCTATATTCAAGGTATGGCCAAATGCCTAAGTTAAAAAGTGCGGAAATTTCCGGAAAAAATAACGGAATCGGAATTTCCTGGTAATATTCACATCTACACAATGTGTCCTAAATACCTGCAAAGTTTGACGAAATTCTGTGCAGCGGTTTATGAGGAGTTGCGCTGACAAAAAAAAGAGGACTGACTGACTGACTGACTGACGGACTGACTGACGGACGGGTCAAAAACATTATACCTCCCGCAACTAGTTGCGTGGGGTATAAAAATAGTCGTCTGATTCCGCCGTGACCATGCAAAACGAGTAATGAATCAATTTATAGTATTAATCGATTTAATTCCGTCCGTAACCTTATTTAAGAAGTCGATTTTATTTCTGGCTATTTTGTTAGATCGTGTTCATCTAATTTTAAATTGGTTATAGACTTTCAACATTCCGCCCTTCAAACATGCCTCTTATGAGATTAAGTCTGTAATAATTTCCAGGGTTTTAATTTATTTGCCGACTTGACCCTCTTTTAAATTACAGTCGCACCTGCTGTTACGGCCACCCTTAATCAGCGGCCACTCCCCATGAGCGGCCAGTTTCAATCCCGCCCGATCATTTTTTCACTGTATTTTAACTCAATTAAGCGGCCACCTGTCTAACACGGCCAGTGGCCAGTGTTTTTAGGTCCCGTGTGCTCAACATGCCCGTTTTCAGCGGCCATTTTGTCTGTTTTGTCACATGACTTCCGTCTGACACGTGACCTCGTATCCTCATACGAAGCCAAACATGAGCAGCTGATAATGAGTTAATGACCAATAATAATTGCAGGTGTAATTTGAATTCTGTCAGGATTAAATGATTTATTCGTTAACAAATGTTTTTTGGTGTTCTTAATATACGAAAGTAAGTTGTTGAATATTTTCATAATATAAACTCAATAGGCTACATATTAATTACAATTTTGCCTGAGGTTATCAAGTCAAGCGGTCAGTCTCCCGTTTTAACCTTTTATGTTATATAAATAATTATGTATCTAGAAAAATAAAAAAGCTTTACACAGCATCAGGGAAATGCTAAGTTGTTAGAACATTTCATGATTTCCTGTGATGTACATTGTATGGCCGTATAATTAATTAAATTACTAACAAACACAGTCACACACACACAAAAAAAAAACAATAAAAGATTTCTTTCAAAAATTCATGTAAAATGAAATGTAAGAAAAGGGATTTCATTTGACTTAAAACTTCATAAGTTTTTAAATGTGTTGAAATTGGAAATGGATACGTGTGAAAATAAATATACAACTGTGGTTGCAATTTTTTATTCATTGGTTTGAAACCTGGAATAAGTGGCCACCTGTCTTATGTGGCCAATTTGTCATTCTCCCATGAGTGGCCTCTTAAAACAGGTTTGACTGTATTTTTAGTAACAGTGCACGCTAAATCTAATAGCATTGATTTATACTTATTAAGTCGGAAAAGTTGCATTTCACTCTTTTAATATTTATTTATTAAGTTTTGTGTTTTGTATTGTAAAGAAAAAAGTATTTTATCATTCAATTTTCATTAATTAATACATATATGAGAGCTTAGTGTTCACGTAGAAGTACATATACAGTTACAGTTGTAGCAGATTCATATTCTGTTGACACGGTTTGTGTTAATGCATAGTGCTATTATATTAACATTTATTAAGATTTCAACTCAGGAAATCAATTTTCTTTAACTGTATATATAGATCATGAGAGATATATCGTGTTAAATTTATCAATTTTGTTATAGCTGATTTCTTTGACCTTTTCTTTCGGCCAGCCTTCTACATGTATTGTTTCCTAAGATTTTATTATTTAATTTCGATTTTTTATACACCGCAGATTGTAAGCTTTAGACATTAAATACAAATATTTAATTTATTGAGTAAAGTTCTTCCGTAAACTAATTTAGTACTTGTAGATAAATTTATTACGTTTAAATGAAATTCTTTTTTTTTAATAATAAAATGAACTCATTTATAGTGTTTCATAAATTTATAATAATGTACCCGTGATAAACAACAAAACAATGAGATTTTTAAGCCAGCATTACATGTATGTTCAAATATCCATAATTAAACGATTCTTAATTCAACCTTAAGACAAGAATTCGACATTTACAATAATAATTGGAAATAATAATTAGAAATCTTCACCTTTGAGTTGAAATAAAAGAAATACAGTCTGCGTTTCATTATAATCCATTAAATCATTGTCAAATAAATCAATAATTAAATAAAACTTTTGAAAAATTACCACAGTGATCTCAAGTTGTTTTATAATTAAAATACTTTAAATATACCTTATAATTTAGATTTGAAGCTTTGCAAATATCTAACTTTAAATATTGCAGTAATCAAACAAAATTATCTTTTCGTCTTGTCAAAAAACGTTCCGCATTTTGAAACAATTCTATCAGGTTTTGCGTTTATCCTATTGTTAAAATCGTTTATCAGGTCTATCGTGTTTTGCGTTAATCCTATTCTGCGTGTATCCTGTTGTATCATGTGTGTATCCTATTGTATCATGCATGTATCCTATCGTATCGTGTATCCTGTAAAGAATAACGATGCGGGTACTGTACCTCCTCTTTCCCCCTTTGTAGGGCCTCCACCTGACTCTCGGTAGCCTGGAGTTTCCCCTTCAGCTGGGCGTTCTCTGTCTTGGCCTCCATCAGAAGATCCTGACATTGTTTGAGACTGGTGGAGGTCCCCTCCTTCTCACCTGGATAAGAAACATTAATTGATAACTTTCATTCATGTATTATTCATCCTCAATCTGGCAAAGACTTATTGATTCAAATATGCTTATGTTAGACTGACCAGTAATTTCTAACAATGGTCTTATTTATTTATAAATTATAACAGTTTGTGTAACAGTTGACTATGCATGCTGTTTTTGATGTCTTAAGAGCTTGAGTTTCTCAACATATTAAAAAAAAATTATATCCTCGGAGGTCCATGAGTCGTTACCCTAACTTGATTGTGACTGTTTGTAAATAAATTTGAAATGCTGTTTCATTTCGTAAGTCATACCTTAATAAAACATGTTCTTTTCTTTGCAGTAAATTGTTTAAATAAAAAAAGCATGCCTTTTTGATTGTTTTCATCTCATTTAAGTTACCGATGTTTACTCGGCGACATTTTGAAAAGCAGGTCCTAGGGTCGTGACGTCAGCGGAAATTGAAGTAAAAAGGCCAAGAGAATGAATATATATGTTTTTCATTTTTCAACTGAAAGTTTAACTGTGTTTCAACATTTTTTAAAGACAAATTAATACAATCTTTACAAAGAATTAATTTTTTAGTTAAACAATTATAAAAACTGAAAGTTTAACTGTGTTTCAACATTTTTTAAAGACAAATTAATACAATCTTTACAAAGAATGAATTTTTTAGTTAAACAATTATAAAAACTGATATAACTAAGCTGAATTTAACCCTGTCTAATTCAATACTAATTTAGGCACCATCAGCAGTAATGTGTTACTCTTTATTACAATGTGGGCAAAAGAATGGATCATTCCTTCGAACAACACGTATTGGTGAACAATAGATCAAGTGAACCCAATGGTTGCACTTGTCACATTGCGCCCACTTCACAAATACAAGGGATACACATCTCTTTAACTCATCTGGCTGGAACTTCTTGCAAACGCAGCACAGTTTAGAGGCATCCATCTCAACATCACTGTCAGTGTCTGAAGTGTTTTGGAGGTCCTCAGAAACGGTCAGATTGATTGTTGATGAGCCAGGTAAATCATCAAGAAGTGCAGTTTTTTTAAAACTTGTCTTCTGGTGCTTCTTACTCCAGATATCTTTCTCTTTTTTCTTCTGACTTTTTTCATGGTCTTTCATTTGCTGATGCACATTTTCTGAAATTTCTCTCCCTGACACGATCTTACTCATTGTTTTCCTCTCTTTAATTTCTCCTCCACTCTTTTTTACCTTCAGTTGGTTCTCCTTCTCGTGTAACTTTACCACATAATTTTGCTGATGTACATTTTCTCCCTTTTCTTGCCCCAATCCTCTCTCATTCTCTTGGCTTTCATTATTTCTTAATTTCAGCAGCCAGGCCCTTGAAGACTTCTGCTGGTACCAAATACCTCGAAGGAACTGCGTCTTTGCAGAGGGGATAAATTCCAGTACGACGAAATCCAGACTGGATGTTTTTGGGAGACAGCGCCTTCATATATGCCTTGCATGCAACTTCACAAATGTTATACCTGGTAATTGTTGCTGCTGTTTCCCTTATCAGCTTGTGACACAAACAATTGTAAATGTTTTGAAATGGGCCGTAGCAGGCAACATCCATTGGCTGTAAGACATGGCTTGTATGCGCTGGAAGTATAAAGATAATTATCCCCTTCTGACTTGCCCACTCTACAAGATCCACTGACACATGGGATTTGTGTCCATCTAAAAGGAGCAATATCTGTCCTTCATCTCGTGGAACAAACTTGAGGAAGTGGTGTTCCAGATAGTGTCGGAAGATTTGTCCATTTGACCACCCAGTCTCGCTCACTGTGCCACTAGCCCCAGGGGATGCTCCACTCAAC